GGTAGTTTGAACATTCTTTGGCATTGCCTTTCTTAGGGATTGGAATGAAAACTGACCTTTTCCAGTCCTGTGGCCACTGCTGAGTTTTCCAAATTTGTTGGCATATTGAGTGCAGCACTTTCACATCATCATCTTTTAGGATTTGAAATAGCTCAACTGGAATTCTATCACCTCCACTAGCTTTGTTCATAGTGATGCTTCCTAAGGCCCACTTGACTTCGCATTCCAGCACTATAGGTGAGTGATCACATCACTGTGGTTATCTGGGTCATAAAGACCTTTTTTGTATAGTTCTTCTGTGTATTCTTGCCACCACTTCTTAATATCTTCTGCTTCTGTTAGGTCCATACCATTATTGTCCTTTATTGTGTCCATCTTTGCATGAAATGTTCCCTTGGTATCTCTAATTTTCTTGAAGAGAGCTCTAGTCTTTCCCATTCTGTTGCCCACTGCTCTGCTCAGGGTGTTTTGGTGTTAGCCCTACCCCTTCCCCTAGAGGTGGTCCTACCAAGGTGCGTTTAGGGCAGGAAGCAGTGGGGCCTCACCTCAGCGGAGGAGTAGCCAGAGGAGGAGTATCTGGACATGTCAAAGTCATCATCACTGGCCGCGGAGGAGGGAAGGCAGAGAGGAAGTGATTTCCAGACATTAAATAGAAAACTCTCTTTACCCTCCCCCACATCAGTCAATACCTCCCCCTCCCCCCACACTTCCAAAGAAACAGCACAATCTCAGCAGAAACCATGCTTGCTGTGGGAATGCAGTTTTAAGCCAGGTTCCTTAGCCCCACCCTTCTAAATACATACTACCCTTGAAAGTGAAAGTGAAGTCGCTCCATCGTGTCTGACTCTTTGCGACCCCATAGACTGTAGCCTACCAGGCTCCTCTGTCCATGGGATTTTCCAGGCAAGAGTACTGGAGTGGGTTGCCATTTCCTTCTCCAGGGGATCTTCCTGACCTAGGGATTGAACCCAGGTCTCCTGCATTGCAGGCAGACGCTTTACCGTCTGAGCCGCCAGGGAAGCCCAAACCAAGGGTAGTATTTGGAAGCCCAAGTATTTGGAAGCCCAAATACCTTTAACCTTTAACCAAACGCCCTTAACCTCCTCCTAAATCAAGCTGCTACTACCCCACAGCTTTGCCCCTCTTTTTCCTAGGCTCAAATCATCTGGGTTTGTTGGGTTTTCCCAAAGTCTAGGTCTAGCCAGGTCTGTGCCCTGCAATAGGGCTCCCCCCTCAGAGCGGGCAGGGCACCACGGCATCAGGGCCCATTCGAGGGGCAGCTGCCAAGTCAGCTGTCCCAGGCCAGCAGCAGATTGCACTGATCCCCTTTCCTCTGTCTGCTCCCCCCATCTCCATTCTTCGGGGGATTCACCCTCGGAGAGCTCCTGGCTGAGGGACACCCTCATTCTGACAGTACAGCAGGTGTGGCCTGCCTGTTCAGCCCACTTGTTTATTCCCAGTCATTCACTGCTGTGGCTTGCCTGGCTGCCCCGATGCCTCCACACACACCTGTCTGTATCAAGGGCTACCAGTGGCTTCTCATCCGGGCTCTGGTCAAGCGAGGAGTAGCCTTTATTCGGGACGACCAGCCTGGGGGGAGAATTTGGGGGACTGGATTGGCGACTGAAGCATACCAACCTGGCAAGGAACTGGGTTGGCCACATCCCACAACCTCCCTCCTGGCCCCATCCCACCCTTCCCCATCCCACCCCGCCACCTTGATCCTGTGAGACTCTCTCCTCTCGAAGAGGAGCTGGGCCTGAGGAGCGAGGGAAGAGGGGAGGCTCAGAACCAGCAGAGACAGGAGCCGGCTGGCAGGGCCCTGGCGGGGCGGCGCCTACCTTGTCCGGGCCATGACGTTGTTCTTCTTGGGTTGCTGGTTGACGGGGCTGCCCATGCTGCCGTTCTTCAGGGAGCCCTTCCGGGCCAGCTCCCGCTGCTTCTCTGCAGGGGGACGTGGAAACGAAGCTGTGTCCTGCCTCCAGGGCTGCGCTGCCTTACCACTCAGGACAGCCCGGGCTGGCCCCATGGTGAAACCCCTTGCTTCTCTAAGAACTGAGGCAAGGATCAACTCTAGGCCCTGCTGCTTGAAAGAGACAGTGCTTTGCTCGGCACAACCTGAGGCAGATAGTGAAGGGTGACAGGAGGAGGCTGACCCCCATCTTCCAGGAACTGTACTCCTAAGTGGGCAGATAGCATGTGCTTGATCCAGAGAAAGGCTGGAGAGGGAGAGATGGAATAGAAGGATGGCAGGGCTTCCTGCGGGTGACACCTTGAGATGGAGAGTGAAAATGCTAGCCTCTCAGTTGTGTCCAACTCTGTGACCTCATAGACTGTAGCCCGCCAGGCTCCTTTGTCCGCTAGGTTCTGCTAGGCAAGGACACTGGAGTGGGCAGCCATTCCCTTCTCCGGGGGGTCTTCCCGACCTAGGGATTGAACCCGGGTCTCCTGTACTGCAGGCAGATGCTCCACCTTCTGAACCACCAGGGAATCCCACTTGAGGTCGAGCGAGGAGGGCATTTGAGGAAGGAAGGGTAGTGTAGAGAAAAGTCCATTTAGAAGTGAGTGTAGTAAGTGTGGATCTGGACGGGGTGGAGGGACGAAGATGGAGGAAGGTCGGGTTAGAAAAGTTGGATACATTTCTTCAGTGATTTATTTATTCAGCAAACATCTGTGTCGTCAGTCATGTATCAGGTCCTGTGCACAAAGGACTGGGGGCCCCCTCTAATTACAGACTTGGAGCATGAAGGCCTCGAATGCCAAGCAGAGGAGTCTGGGCTTAATGGAAAGGAAAAGAAGCCACTGAAGATTGTGGAGCAGGAGGGGCAGCAGGCTGGGGGGCCCTCTGCCGAGACTACTTCTGACTCCTCGGTCAGCCTATGGATTCTCCGAGGCTCTAGAACCTACCAGATTCGTGGGACTGGCGACCAAGGGACCCATTGCCTGGTGTGTGGCTCTGCTCCCAATAGTCGGGTTCTGCCTGGGGCCTACAGGAGGCCTGTCTGCCCATTCCTCCTCTCACGGCAGCTCTGATACTGGCAAAAGGACTGCCAGGGGAAAGCTCTCATAAAACAAGAAGTTCCAGAGAGGAAGGATGGGATGGGCATTTATAGCTACTGGGACTCTGGAATTTTCTCGACCTCCATGTCTCTCATCTCCCACTCTCTAACGCTCTTTCTTTATCACTGCTCATCTATCTCACGCCCTCAAACCCACCTTCACCTCCTTTCCTGCAGGCAGCAGCTGCCATTACCACCCCAGGCCTCTAGAGGGTGCAATTTGCCTTGTAAGTTCCTGGTGGGGATTCTCAGTGCACCGAGGCTAAGGCTGTGGATTTTTCTAGAGGAGCTGTGGTAATACAATGGTCAGGGGGGAAAGTGTTGTTTTTAAAAGCATGTTGGAATTGTTTGAAACAGTGAAAAAATGCTAATAAACTGCAAAAGCAAACTACAGACTACAGTGCAACTATTAAAAGAAGTCATTCTCTATATACTGATATTAGAAGGGGTTCTAAGACATCAATCAGAAAACATAAAAGAAAAAAGCTTCAGAAAATGTGGACAGTATGATACCACTTGTGTTCAAATACAAAATAAAACTAGAAAAAAACTAAAAACCAAAAGCAAAACTCTTGGAATGATCATCTCTGGGGAGGAGAAAATGATGGGGAAGAGTAAAGAAATTATACTTGTTAAATATTTGTGTTGTTAAATTAAACAATAATAAGCAAATAAAACTGGCTGCAGTTTGAGTCCGGTGTTCTGTCCTGGGAAGATGAACAAATTCTACTGAGAGGACTGCTCTCTTGTTTAGAAAAACAGCCTGAGGGGCTCCCTGGATTTGGTCTGGGAGGAGAGAAGCAAGTTAAAAGGAAAAGGGAAAGGCTGAATAATGTAACAGGACTCTGAAAAGGTGTCCTGGCAGCTGCAGAGCAAGGTTTTGAAACAGATTTCTCAGGACAAAGGAGAGGGCCCAGTATTTGATGGGCAGTTGGAGCCTGGGGAGAAATATGAGGAGGAGTGTGGCCGGGATGGCAGAGAAGTTCTGAAGGATGGTCGTGGCCTGCATTTAATTGTTAACTCTTTCCTGGATGCACTGTGTTAGCTATATTTTCACTTGTGAAAACAAACTTTTTATTTATTTAGTGATGGCTGCACCTCATGGCCTGTGGGATCTTAGTTCCCTGACTAGGGATTGAACCCAGGCCCTCAGCAGTGGAAATGAAGTGTCCTAACCACTGGGCCGCCAGGGAATTCCTGAAACCAGTTTTTAAAATTAGAAGTCTGTTATGCATGGCAGCCTTGGGTGAGTGAGATGGTCCCTGAGGGAGAGAGGGGGTGTTTGGGGGGAGGTAAGGTGAGCGCAGCAGCTGCAGGGGCTCTGGGCAGTGCCTGGGAGAGAGGCGGCTCAAAGGAGCGGGCGGCAGCATGAACTGACTTTGGAGTGGACGTGCGATAAACCCCCAAGGCAGGGTGACCCTGGGAAGTCAGGAGAGGTTTGGGTTTATTAAGAAACTACGGGAAAGTTCCTCCAAACAGGAGCCAACAACATCCGGAGATATCCAGATAGGCTGACTAGGAAGGGGGAGCGGGGCTCAGTTTCTAGGGGAGAGGAGCCAGGTTCTAGGCTTTGGAAGCCTCACTCCTTTCTCCCCTCAGACACAGGAACTGATGCCCACTTCTAAGGCAGCTTCCTCTCATCCTGGTCCAGTGTTTGATGGGGCTTCCGACCCTCTCTCTGGGGTTCCTGCAGCTATGCCCCAGAACATCTGGAGCCTTCTGGGCCCCAGAGATGCCTCTGGAGCTCTGGGCTCCTGTAGAGAACTATCACCTCCCTCTTGGTCTTGCAGGAGAGAAGGTTCCGGGCGGTGCCATTGACTTGGTGGCTAGAGGCTTGGAATTGTCTAGCCTGAGCTGTGCCTCTTCGCAGACCCAGCCCAGCGCACCTTGCCTGTCCACGCCCAACATCTCCCTCACCCCCCAGACACACTCACCCAGCTTCACTTGGAGCGGGGATGGTTTGTAATTCATGGCTACTGACTCACCCTCCCGGGCGTCACAGTCTCCGTCTGAGATGGAGGCGGCGGCTGGGTCCTGGGGGAGAAAGCGGGGGGACAGGGAGCTGTTAGGAGGTGAACAAAGGGGGCTGTTCTCACCTGTCCTCTGTGGGTACTTCTCCCTGGCAGCAGGTGGGGTTCAGGAAGGGAGGGACAGACCCGTCTACTACGGAAGGAAGATCAGGAGCTGGGTGGAAGAGCCCAGGATCTCGGCCCTATTTACACCCATCTGGGTGTCTGTCCTTTAAGTCCCGTGTCATCTGCCACCCCCAGGAAGCCTACTGTGATTCTTTAAACCCACAGGACCACCTTCTCCTGCCTCCCATAGTAGTCGCCATGCTCCTTAGGGCCCTGCCTTGTTTAGAAAGACCCTTCTAGGTTCCTGTGAGTTTAAGTCTGGATTAAGATCTGAGCAGGTGCTCCCTGAAATGGGCCTTCTCCCTCTGTTTCCCCAGCTCTGGCTGATCCCTTCCCAGGATCCAGAGAACTGACTGGCTGAGCCAGGCTACACTTCCAGGCTGTAGCCACGCAGTTCTAGAGAGAACGTCTTCATTTCACAGATGAATCCTAAAGAGTGTCTCCCGAGAGAACCTGAATGGTTGGCTGGGAATGGCAGGTGAGAAGACAGACCACGGCAAGTCAGCCGGTGGCCAGTTCATCCTGTGTTGCCCAGACAGGGCTGGACCTTACAGATGACAAAGAAGACAGCATGCATTCTGTGCATTGTCCAGGGTCTGGAACCATTTTGGTCTCCCTCACTGCCCTCTTTACTGACTTCTTCTCATTGCTATGGGTGTTATGCTGCCCAAGTCCTACTTTACCCTCACTATTCTCTCCAGAACCACCCCAAATCTCTGCTACAAGATCCAGGGCCTTGTCCTACTCTGCCTCAGTCAGTTGGAAGGCGCAGGAGTCATTCACCCTCTCCCTGAGAAACTGATAACCAGCCATGGACATAGGATGCGGCCATCCTAACCATCCACCTAGGATCAAAGAATGGTAAGCCTTAGGCCAGAGGATCGCAGAGAGGCTCCAAGGCTGTGCCTATTCTGCCTCTGGGGACACGGAGAGCAGACAGAGAGGCAGGGAGAATGCTGGAGGATGGGCCCTGTGGGGCCAGGCCAGGGATCTGAGTGGCTTCTGGTGACTGTTAAAGGGCGGCTATGCAGCTATTATGGTGGTTTAGTTTCCCTTTAGAATGAAGCAGTGGGGGATGAAAACATGCTTGCCACTAAAGGAAAAGGGAAAAGTCTAGAATGTTTTGGAGGGAAATCCTGGCCTTGTCTGTGTTTCTTTAGGCCATCCAGAGTGCAAGGCCTGCGTGGGCTGTGTTGCCACAGTGGTTTGTGAGCTCCTGAGGGCAGAGCCCGGGCCTGTGTCCTCGTCTCTGATTCCCAGCCTTCGCTGTCACTGAGGGGAATGGGACAGAAGGGTAGAACAGGTGGGGGGCGCTGGGGGCTCAGTGCATGCTCCCAGGCAACCTCCCAAGCCACTGGTCTTGCCAAGTCTCCATCCTTTGCCTCCCTGGCTCAGCTCCTCCTTGGGAGACTGATCACTGGCAGCACCTGTCCCCTGCTGCCCTGGAGAAGGAGGCCTCCAGTGACCCATCCATGTCTTTCTGTGGTCAAAACAGCCTGGCAAGTGCCGCCTGCAGGGGGCATGGAGACCTGCGGTGAGCACTAGGCTGCAGGGGCGGCTCTCTCCCAAGGCCGCCTGAGCGAGGGTTTGGTTGGTAAAACCCACCAACGTGCCTGGGGGGCCCTCCCAGGGAAGCACCGACAGATTTCCAATTTCCTTTCCTCTTTCTGTAGTGTTTGTCACATGTCACACACACCATGTCCATTTGGAAAGGATTTCCTCCCCTGGCTTCCAGGACACTACGCCCCCGGCTCATCTTGTCTCTTTCCCCATCACCTCTGCCTGCTCCCACAGTTAACTTTAAGAACTCAAGTCCTTGGGCGTTTGTGGCTAACTTTTCCCTCCTTGGTGCAGATGAGTCCATCAGAGTGTCTTCTCTCAGGCTGGAGGTCCTGGGTGGCAGCACTGGAGGGGCCAGCGCAGGAAGGATGGGGCCTGAGTGGGAGGCTGTTGAGTGACTCTGGTCACAGGGACCCACATGTGTTCCCTAAGGCCACTGGGATTGCTGAGTGACACGGCCAGTCCCGGTAGGCCAAGAGCCAGCATGTAAAGCCCTAGACTGCGAGGTCCCATTCAGCACTTCCCCATCACTGTCCCTGATGGAAGGCCATCTTTGAGGCGGGAACAAAGATCCTGGCACTGTGCCTGCAAACTCAAGACTTCACTGTGGGCTTCCTGTATGTCTTTCCTGGGAGGTGTAGCCAATGCACCATGACCACCACATGGAAATGTAATCAGGGAGATTAGATGTGAAATATTCATGAATACAAGTATCAGAGAGGAATCCAGGCAGAAGGAAGCATCTGGCTGGAAGAAATCAGGGAAAATTTAAAATGCCCCCCAAGGACATCTGACAGGAGTTAGCTAGATCCAGCAACTAGAGTGGCGATTAGCAAGGTTATTAATAAACACTCAGCAGAGACAGACATTGAAATGCATCTCTAGCAGCAGCCCATGTTTCTACAACCCTGCGCGGAAACTCTCCAAAGACTACGGAGATGATTAATAGCTCAATCTCACTGTTTCTGGGATGGAATAAATCAGCTAATGACCAGTGCAAAACCAATATGACTAGAGGAAGGCAGAAGTACCAGAAGAATCTTCAGAGTTAGTCTGGTCCAGTGATTTTCATTCAACTGTGTTTCCCGAACCCTGTGCCTTGGGCAGGGCTGAGTGCGAGAGGAAAGCAACAGGAGGGGGTCTGGCTTCCCTGAAACCAGAATAGGTCCGTTTTTATGCATTTGTTTGGCTGTGGCACACGGGATTTCCACTGTGTCATGTGGGATCTTGCGTTGCGGTGTGTGGGCTCTCTGGTTTGTGGATCGAGGGCACGATGCGGCACACGGGGCTTAGCTACTCTGCAACAAGGGGGATCCTAGTTCCCGGACCAGGTATCAAACCCACGTCCCCTGCAATCCAAGGTGGATTCCCAACCACTGGACCACCAGGGAAATCCCCAGAATAGATCCATTTTCATTTCACTTACATAGGAGCCTTTCTGCAAGATTTTGGTTGAAGAAAGGGTTTTATTGCCTTAAAAGAAAGGTGGGGGAGGGAGTTTAAAACACATTGATTTAGCCCAATCTTTTAAAAATGCTTTACTGTAGAACTTATTAAATTTACATGAAAACAGAGGAAACAGTATAGTGAGATCCTGGATACCTATCAAACAAATTACTAGCTTCAACAAATTACCATTTAGACTATTCTTTAAAAAATAAAATCTTGGCTCCTCCATTTATAACACTAGCTATGTGATCGGGGCTTTAGTTTCTACTTCTGTAAAGTAGGGCTAATACTAATACCTATGTCAAAGGTTTCCGTGAGGATAAAGTGAGACTATGTAATCTAGTGCTTAATATGCAAGCATTTAGAGTAGTATTTAGTATATACACTACATCCAGCACACTCTATGTGTGGTAGCTATGAAGCTTTTATCAGTACAGGCTCTGTGGACACACGGCCATGAACAGTGTACCCTGGCAGTGGCCGATCCACAGCAGCAGACCTGTCGCCACCCAGGTTGGGGCCTGGCTTGTGTGGGGAGGTATCTGTGGAAGAGATGCTCGCTCAGCAGGGTGAGGAGGGGCCTGATCAGGGAGCATTCTGTCTCCTCTCTCTTCTCACTTAGTTATCAGTGGTCAGCCTGGGCCTCATCAAGATACATAGAAATAGACCCATCCTTAAGGAACTCCCAGTAATTATCAGTAAATGAACAACAGCCATAAAAGAAGAGGGAAAGGGACAAAGGGAGGGTGATCAGGGAAACCTTCCCAGAGGAAGACTCTCGAAAAGGTCTCCAGACATCAGTTTCCCAGTTATCTTAAGAGGAAGGATGTCAGGGAACATCTGCAAAGGCTCAGAAGCCTGAAACTAGCATTGCACATTCAAGGAACAGGCAATATTTTGCTACAGTGGAAACCTAGAAGGTATGATGATGAAGAGTGACAGGAAATAAAGTTGTGGGGCCAGCAGGGCTCAGATCATGGTGGAAGATGGGCCTTGATTTTGTTATTTGCTCAGAAGATGATGGCGGAGGAGCCAATGAAGCCTTGAGTAGGGGAGTAACATGATCAGATTTGAGATGGAGAAGGATACTCTAAAAGTCACGTAGAAGATTGGTGGGAAGGAAATGAGCCTGGAGTTTAGGGAACTGTTGCATCAGTGCCAGCAAGAGATGACAGAGACCTGAACTAAGCAGAAGATACAAAGCCATAAAGGAGGATGTTAAAGAGAGTAGAGTGGCAGACCTCTGAGATAAAATGTAGAAGGAGTCCAGACACTCCTAGTTTTCTGGGTGGGGTAACTGGGAAAGGGATGCTCGTAGTAATTATTAAAACAGACAATGCAGGAGAAGGCATAACTATGGTCAGGGAAAACCAGATGAGCTCAGTTTGGGACAGGTTGAGCTTTGATGTGTCTTTTGGACACCAGATGACATCATTAGTCAATAGGAATTGAGGTTCAGGATCTCAAGAAAGAGCTGTGGACTGATGGTGATTGAAGCCCACAGAGGAGAATAAATCTTCTCGGGGAGAACAAGCACAGTGAAAACAAACAGGAACCAAGAATAGAGTCCTGGAGAGCATCCAACCTTAGGAAATGAGTGGAGGAAGAAGATTGAGTAGGAGCAGAAAGACAAGATGTAGAAAAAGATCCAGGAAGATACTCAAGCAGTTTCCAGGTGAAACAAATCAACAGTGTCAAACTAATACATGAGTCCATAAGATAAAGAAAATATTTAGAAGTAAGGAATTCATAGGTGACCTCAGCAAACAGAGTTTTGGTTGAATGGTAAGAACAGAGCCCAGATCACAGGGGATGTAGGAGGGAATAGGAGATAAGGAAGTAGAAACAATGAACACAGGCTGTTCTCTCAAGGAGCTAAACTGAGAAGAGGGAGTGAGAAGGAATGACAGTCAGAGGGAGTTTTGGAGTTGAAGGATTCTTTGAAGAGAGGGAACACATGAATACTGTTTCACACTAAGGGGAAGAAAATTGAGTAGAAAGGGAGATGTTTGATGGAATATGGTCTTTGAGGAGTCAAGAGAAGATAGAACCAGAATCGGGTGAGAGGAGAAACGCTCCTTACTGAAATGGAAAGGAGGTGAAGATGGCTGGGGGATGCAGATAACGTGGAGACAGGTGGGTGGAAAGTTAAGGGAGTTCATTCCTAAAAGCCTAGTTAAGTAAAAGAAGGGGGCAAATGCTAAGGGGTTGAGGAAAAGAGGAACTCCTGGCTGGACAGGAGTGGAAGGAGATCAGACTGGCAGGGGTTTCAGCTACAAATCCTCAACTTGCACCCGCTTTTGATCTTGTCTTCAAGATGAAAGGCACTCTCCGTGGTGCTGAACAATTTTGCCTTTGTCTTAAGGACTGAACACAGATGATTCAAGGTAACAACATGATTCAATTTTCACTTTCCCACAGGAAAGGTAACCTCTGTCCTCACCTTCAAGCACTAATTTTCAGGAAGATGGAAAATGAAATGGATTTAGAATGAGGTATGAAGAGGCAAAGTGCTAGTATCAACATTATCTAACCTCTCTTTGCCTCTTGGCCTTTGCCACATGAATTTTCCTCTAGTTTTAGGAGGGAGCTGGTGGAAGCAGTTCTGAGTTATGAAATGCTGAAAGGCTCCTTCTGGAATAGCCATGTCTGTACCCTGTTCAGTTCCCCTGGGAGAAAGCAGAACAGACTTAGAGCAGGAACAGGAACAGGGCCAGGAGGACAGGTAGTACTGATAAGAAAAGGAAAACAGGGGGTGCTCTGGAGCTCAGGTCACTCTCTGATGGGCAGAGAGACAGCAAGATAGGGTATCAAAGACCAACTCTGTTCCTGTCACAAGTGGCTCAGCTCAGAAACTTCCTGAGGTTGTGGCTCCCTAAAGAGTTATGCCCCTCCCCCAAAACATTCCTTGGCAGGGGTGGTAATAAGCATGTTTAGATCTCATATTTTAGAGGGAGATTAAAAAAAAATGCAACTCTATGCCTTTCTGTCCAATGCCCATGGCTTGGCAGAAACTAATATCCAGTCCAAGAATATTCAGTAGCAGTTTAGGCATTGGTTAGACCTCTTGGCTTCCCTGCAGATGGCTGTCCATTCAGCCTCTAAGGCATTCCCATCCCTCTCTGGCTCAACATGAGAATCATTTGGCCAATGACAGTTCCTACTCTGCGGAAGGATCTGAGGTCCTGTGAGTACCATGGTTGGGGAGCTCCCACTTTTATTCCCAATCTCCCTCTTTGCTAGGATTTCTGCCAGGCAACTGGCCAGGACTTCTATCCTTTCAGGACATATTAAGACTCTTAGGGGCCCCACTTATAGGAAAGGACAAAGACCTCTGTTAGGTTTAAGGTCTTTTGGGGAATATCTGGAAGGGGGTCAGGGAAACATAAGAGAGATAGTCTCTCCAAATATTGTTTGTAGCTCTTACAAAGAGTGGGGGAAAGAACAGAAAAGCTAGGGAAGTCTATGAAGCCTGAATTCAGGAAAGGGGTCAGAGGACCCTGCCTAGTTCAGGGAGGCCTCTCTTATCAGTCTAAATCTCCTTACTCCTCAAGGTTTTTCTCTATAAGAAGACTCAGTTCAAACAAAGTCAACACTGAGTGGCCACTCCTTTCCAGCTCTGGACTGGGTGCTGGTTGTAGGGAAGAAAACACACCTTCTCCACATGCACCACACTTCTGCAGAGCATTACGGGATGAAGCAAAGCTCCCTAGAAGGAAGCTGAAAGGATTCTCGTGGCTGGGCTAGAGTTCAAGAACTCAAGGGGGTCATGTGTATAGCTGAAGATTTTCTGTTTCCTTAAACAGCTCCTAGGATGGAATTCATTCCCAAAAATAAGCACCACCCACTATGCTTTAGTAGCTTTGTGGTGACTGTCATTGGGAGAACCAAAATGCAGAACCCCAAGGCTAAAAAACAACTTTATTAGCCATGGCAAGTTTAATAGACTTTTCTATTATAAAGTGATACATGGTAAAATTTTAAAAAAGATCACATTTAGTTTTACCACTTTGAGGCAATCTTTGTTAATGTTCAGGTGTATCTGAGTCTTATGTACACTACAGTAGCAACACTAGGGGGTTTCCCTCTCTGGGAGCTGGTGTTTTGCCCGTCCTCACGGTCACAGGTGTGGGCCTCTAAGTAGGTACATTGTTGGGTCTATGTGGTCCCATCCTTGCTTAGACCAGGTGGAGCCCATCAGAGCATCCCCCAGAATTGGGAAGTGGGGCTTCTAAGAGGAGACTGTAGATTAGGTAGCAGAGAAGGTCACTGGCAGGGAGACAAGAATAAAGCTGATGTTCAGAAAGAAGAATCACAAGAGCTATTAAGTCTTTTCCCCTAGGTTTCAGGTTCTGGTTCTAGAACTTGTCCTATCCCTCTAAGGTTTGATTACATACCCGTCCTCATGTATCAGGAGAAAATCCAGTGTCCATACAGTCTAGTCACCTTTTTAGCTTAAACTAGCTTGAGTTGGATTTTCTTACTATAACCAGAAAGCATCTACTAATAATTATTCATAGAACAACATTTAAAGAAAAACACACTGTATCTTATATTCTATATTTTAAAAAATTAGGATTAGGGCATATTCAACTCTCCATATTTTTACATAGTTTTCTTAACCATCAGCTTCATGGCTACATGATATCCATAAAGGGGACATACAATAACTTTTTAACCCTTCACTTATTTTGGACATTTAGGTGCTTTGCAATATTGCACTATTATAAATCAAAAAGTGTGAACGCTTTTAAGATTCTTGATACATACTGCCAAACTGCTTTCCCAGAGGATTGTTCCAATTTACAATGCCTCTAGTCACAACCAATAGCTGTAGCTGGTTTTTTAGTATTTGATTTTTCACTGTGTACCAGGGTATTTCAGGTCATCACATCTATCTACTGTTTTCCAAGAGCTCTTCTCCAGTCCTATTTGCCTGGTTCCCTCTGGGGAATCTTCTTTCAAAGAACAGAATTTCCTCTGGGCATTACCTGCCAGACAAAATATTCCTGACTGGAGGCCACTGATTAAGAACAAAAGCAGAGAAGACTATTACACTGCAGCTTGGGCGAGGCTCTGCCACGCTGCAGCTGGTCCCTGGCCTGTGCACATCGGCTGCAGGCGCTGGGACTGAAGCTGCAGATCCAGGAGGCAAACCTCACCGAGGAGGTCTCCCTTGCTTTCAGATTTGGGGTGAGACAATGAACCAAAATGGCTCTGCAGTTATTCCAGAAAGACTGGCAGCTCCCACTCCCTTACCTATTATTTAGTTTTCAAAAATAGCTACTCAGAAACAGGGAGAGAAAAGGATGGTGAAAGATACGAAGCTAGCACTGGGATGGCAAATAATTGGATTCATTAAAAAAAAAAACTGCATTTATTTATCTTCGGCTGTGCTGGGTCTTCACTGCTGCATAGGCTTTCCTCTAGTTACGGCAGCAGGGGCTCCTCTCTAGTTGCAGTGTGCAGGCTTCTCATTACAGTGACTTGTTGCTGAGCGGGTGGTTCCGCGGCATTTGGGCTTCAGGAGGCGCAGCCAGAGGGCTCAGCAGTTGTGCATGGGCTTAGCTGCTCTGAGGCCTGTGGGATCTCCCTGGACCAGGATTAAACTGTGTCTCCTGCATTGGCAGGGGGATTCTTTACCACTGAGCCACCAGGGAAGCCCCAGATTCATTTGGGGGAGACAAGGGACCTGTGAGTTTTAAAAATGATTTAGAATCCTGCTTTGCCTTCCCCGTCGTTAGGGCTGCTTATCCTAGGTTGACGTTCTGTTATTCATTCCTGTCCCTATTCACCTGGAAATCCTACGAACAAAAAGCCTTTGTTTGGGAGATAGGGCAAATGCCTAACTCAGGGACAACTAGATAGCAACAGTGACTTGGGGGAAGCCTCTGCATAAAGGCCTAGGGGATGAGCCTCCTGACCCAGGAGACAGGGGCAGGGCCAGAAATTGAGAAACCATCATTCCTCCAGGAGGCTTGACTTGGCCTAGTCCTTGAACTTCATCCCTATCCCCAAGCTCATCCTCTGAGCCAGATGTTGAGCAGGCTCCTGTCTTACCTTGGACCGGGCAGAGACACAGGTCTTAGCCTCTATAATCTGGTGAACCAAAATGTTTTTGAGTCCCACATCCTGCTCCCCCATCACCTGCTCCTATTTCAACCTCTTTAGGGAGAGGTCATCTCACTTAATGGAGAAAGGGGTGAAGGTGTAAAATTCTTTTAAAAGTAGATCAGCAATGGTTGAAGTGATAAATTTTATGTTATATATATTTTACCACAATGGGAAAAAAATGGGGAAAAAAAGAGATTAACTGGTAGGGCCTGAGGCAGAAGAAGATGGTAAGAGGGTGGGCAGTGGAAAGGAGGCAGTCCCTTCTCTTATTTAATTCAGTTTTGGCCAATGATTCTAAAATCAAGGGAGTTAAAGAGGTCAAGGGTCTGCGGCTCTAGGGGCCTTCTACTTGGACAGGGTCCAAAGGAGGCAAAGAAGGGGACTGGATATTCAGGGGTAATAGAGTTCTAAGGAGTGTGGTCCAGATGACCCTTTGGTTTCTTTCCAGGATGTGGATTCTAGTTCTTCAATGTAAGGAAGGAGGCACAGAACACCAAGGAGAGATGCTGCCAAGGAATTGATAGAAGGCGTTTGGTTGGAGAGTCCTTGAGACTGGTCCCTCATCCCTGCACATGATAGGAAACTGAAGCAACAGAAATGTCAACAAACATTGACATTTGGTCTGTGTCAGTCTACTTGTGGCTCTTCATCTGGATCTTGGCTCCAAATCTCACTTGAGGATGTCTGATAAGCTTCAATTACTCAAGAGACTGAGCCAAGGCTGCCCTGGCTCATAACTCTTCTGGACTCCTGGATTTCCCAAGAAGGCAGTCCTCTGAAAGGCTATGCGACGTCTTCCCAGGGCTGCCATCTCGGACCCCTTTCCTCTGGCCTTGGGAGAGTAAAGAGCTACTTGTCTGTGGTGGACAACGGACTTGGGAGGGCTGGTACCAAGTAGCTTCTCCCCTCTGTGGCATTTCCTGCCTCTGCCTTTCCTTTGACTTACAGACTCATCTAACTCTCCAGCTTCCATTATGCCTGGCAAGCACCACTTTTTGCCCATAAAGACAGCTTGCATCTCTCTGGCCAGAGCAGTCCCCTGTTCTTTCCTTTTTTTGGTCATCCGGATAATTAAGCATTGGTGAACTTGAAAGTGAAGCGTTAGTCACTCTGTTATGTCCGACCCTTTGAGACCCCATCGACTGTAGCCCGCCAGGCTCTTCTGTCCCTGGGACTCTCTAGACAAGAATACTGGAGTGGGTAGCCATTTCCTTCTCCAGGGGATCTGGCAGACCTAAGGATCAAATTTGCATTGTAGGCAGATTCTTTGCTGTCTGAGCCACCAGGGAAACTTAATGCTTGCAACTTGTTAAAAAAAAAAAAAAACAATTTGATGTTCACTGAAGACCAACAAGGGGGCAGGCAGGACAAAATGCATTTTGAGGAGGGAAAAACACCAAGACCTGGTTCTTGCCAAGAAGACTTTAGTCTAAAAGTGGGGAATTGACAGGCACACAAATTAGCCTATTCAAGTCAGAGAGAGGAGCATGAGAGGCAGGAATGCGTGAAGGGTGGGGGAAGCACAGAGAAGGTGATAGCAGTGTAGCTTGTGTATCCTCCCAGACAAAGAGGGTCAAGCTCTTCTTTGATCAGGGGGCATTCCCTTGTGGCTCAGCTGGTAAAGAATCTGCCTGAAACGCAGGAGACTTGGGTTCGATCCCTAGGTTGGGAAGATCCCCTGGGGAAGGGAAAGGTTACCCATGCCAGCAGTCTGGCCTAGAGCATTCCATGGACTGTATAGTCCATGGGGTGGCAAAGAGTCAGACACGACTGAGCAATTTGCACTTTCACTTTGACCAAAGCAGAGGATCAGCACTGAGGTCAAGGGGTACTTTGGCAAGAGGACTTAGAGCAATGATTGGTGAGGCTTAGCCCCAGGGCTAGGACTCTGTTCTCACTACTTTTTAATGCTGCTGCTAGTACAACCCTGACTCTGTCACGGGACACCCAGTCCACCCTGTTTCTGTGGGTCAAGTACAGAGATGCGGGGGCTCAGTACATCAGGGCCTTTCCTTTACCACGAGAGACCACGAGAGACAGACCCTTCCCACAGGGAAGGGTCAAGAGGCTGTGGATGGGTGGCTGGAAAGTGTTTTCATTGGGAAGGCAAACAGGGATTCACAGTTCTAAGAGAGGGACACGGCTGGCCCCAGCAGTCACTCTCACCAGGCCTGTTTTGTGCAGCAGGGAGGTCGATACGAAGGTCACTTGGGGGCTCAGGGCCCAGCTCAGGAGAGGAGGAGGTCAGAGACGGGAGGGAGAGACTCGTGAACCTATCTGAGTTTCCCTAGAGAAGTCAGATGGTGGTGGAAGAGTAGGGGGGAGGGGAGGTTCTACACTAGCCCAAGCTCAAGGCAAGTTCTCAGCTGTGAAGATGGCCATTTGCTGGCTATGCATCTCTAGAGGGAAACAATACTCCTCAAAGCTAGATGATCATAAAGTCCCTGCTAGAGGGGCTCCCCAGGCTCAGGGTGGGAGAGAGTCTTTCCCTGCCCACCTGTCACTCCCTGGCTGGTGCAGTGATGCTGAATGGATAACTCAAGGGTACCACCTCAATCCTGAGGCATCCACAGGTAGGGACCCTGAAACAACAAATAATCAACACTTACTCAAACAGCCCCCTAGAGCTCTGCAACCCATCTCTCTAAGGAATGCCTTCTTTGCTCTGATTACACCTGAGCAGGCTTCATCTCTTCTAGACCATTCTGACACACCTCTATAGCTTATATCCTTCCACACCACTGAGCATATCTATGTACCTTTAGGGTGGTACTTTTTAAACGGTAGTGTGCATACAAATCACCTGGGAATATTGTTTAAATGTAGATTCCAGTAGGCCTGGAAAGTGAAAGTGTCAGAGTCTCAGTTGTGTCCAACTCTTTGCAACCCTATGGACTGTGGCCGGCCAGGCTCCTCTGTCCATGGGATTCTCCAGGCAAGAATACTGGAGTGGGTTGCTGTGCCCTCTTCCAGGGGATCTTTCCAACCCAGGGACCGAACCCATTGCATTGCAGACGGATTCTTTACCATTTGAGCTACCCAGGAGGGTCTCAATAGGTTGGGAGTGGAGCATGAATATGAGTATCCACATTTCACAGAAGCTCCAAGGTGATACCAGCATTCTTAGTTCAGGGGCCACACTTTGAAGAGCAGAGCTCTAGGCCAGCCCCTCTACACTGACACCACGCCTGGGCAGCTCCTCCGAGTGCTCTCTGCCCCAGCCTTAATCTGTTTAATTCTTAGTGTGAAGAGAGGATGATGATTTGGTGGGGGAGGAGATTAGGAATCTACCCAGAGCTCAGCTCTGGAGGCAACTCTGATAAGACCTCTGGCTGGGGCCAGGCAGGAAGCTGCTCAGAACAGCTTAGCCCAGGTGTGGTTCTTCCGGAATTTATCAAATTTTTAAGTTCCTATCCCTTGAACATCTGCTCTATGTATAGTGATGGTGCTAGGTGCTTTATGTATGTTGTCTCATTTCATCCTCCTAAAAGACCAAGTAAGGTAAATATTCCCATTTTAGAAATGAAGAACCAGGCTGTATAAAGCAATATGTTCAGATTCACACTTAGAAGGTGGAAGCACTAGGATTGAAATCTAATTCGTCCATTTTAAAACATCCCAGCCCCTCCTCAGAGACATCAGATGAAGTCATGAGATTAACAATACATTAGAACTTAGCTGAGGGACTGTTGTCTTGTAAAGCAGGCACTTCAAAGGCTGGCACTGGTTTAATCACATCTCCAGTACTCTGCACACTTTCGGAGCTCCTCTTGAGAAAATGGCATGCATGCTTTCTGATCACCGGCCTCCTGCTCAATGAGTTCTCCACAGGAAGAAAGTATTAGAGCCATGAAGCTGTCAATAACTCAAGACGGAGTGAGAAAGAGAGATTGGCAGGAAGCAGCAAGCAGGAAAAATGCCTGGGAGCTGGGAGTGCTGAGCCCATGAGAGGAACACAGAGGGCAGTACAAGAAAGGGAGACAAAAAGGTCTCAGCCGCTCATTCTGTTCAGGTCCTGCACTTTATGTTACATTCTAGGCACTGTGCTGGGTGCTGCTGATACAAAGATGATATGGCCTTTGCCCATGAAGAGCTCATAGGCCAATAAGTAAGGTAAATGAATACGTAGACAATTTTAATAAGAATATGAGAAGGGCTAGAACAGAAAGAAGTTTGTGTTGAGTGGCTTTAGGGACATAAGACAGAGGAATCTATCCCACTCTTTGGAGTTAGGGAAGGCTTCTTCAAAGAACGCTGAGGCGTGAGGATGAGTAGGAGGCAGATGTGAACCAGATGAAGAAAAGAAGGGAGAGGAGGGGAGTGGGATGAATTGGGAGATCTGGACCGACATACACACGACTATATAACTAAGAGGGCGCCAGTGAGAACGGGAAACGACTTGGGCTCTGCGGGGACCTAAACGGGAGGGAAGCGAAAGAAGGGGGGATGTGTGGACACACGTGGCTGACTTGCTTTGTTGTACAGCAGAAACCAACACAAATGTAAAGCAACGATATTCCAATAAAAATTAATTTAAATAAGAAAGGAATAGAGAACAAAGGAGAGAGGAGTGGAAGGAAGACACGCATGACTATACGGCAGGCAGAAGGAATGGCTCAGTCTTGCTGGGAGGTTACATGTCGGGGTGAAGTGGGGGAAGATAGGACTAGACTGGGACCAAGGCTTAAGACCATGAAGGGCTTTGAACATCCTGTTCAGGGCTTTGGACTTTAACTGGAAATAATGGGGAGCAATTGAAGGATTTTCAGCCCACTGTCAGATTTATAGAAATAGATCACTCTGGGAGCGGTGTGGGAGAATAGGAAGGAATGAGCAAACTAGAGGCAGGGCACCAGATAGGAGGCATTGCCAGAGGTGATAAAAGCTGGCAAAAGGCAGTCAGTAGGGTTGGAGCAAAGGGAATGCAGAAGAAAAACATGTCGAAGTTAAACTGCTCAGGACTCAGTGGCTGATTGCATCTGAGTTTGAGGGAGAGACCTTGGCTAGGATGGCTCCCAAATTTCTTCCTGAATCAGGTGCCTGAGTAAATTGCGATACCACCAAATAACAGAGAAACAGAAATAAGAGTAAGTTTAATGATTTTGTTTTGTGCAGGGGTGTGTGTATGTGTGTCTATAAATGTGAAGGTGGGAGGAAAGCCCTTGGCCAACAACCAAAGCTGAAGGGGGTGGAGAGAAGAAAACTGACAGCTGTGGTCAGAGAGACGGGGACAAACGGGAGGCTGATGTCGTGGATGGCAGGGAAGGACAAGGTCTTGAGAAGGACAGTGAGACTAGAGGATGGTTAAGATTGGGGGAAAGAGCCAACAGAGAAGGGTGAGTTATTCAAAGACATCCAGAAAAAGAACTTCAGACATAGTGCTTCTTCTCTGGTTTGCTGACACTTTGGCAAAAACTTAACTTTGTTCTCAACAATTATGGGTCTGATCTTTGGGAGGCTCGAGACTCCCCACAGAGAGAAACCCTTCAGTAGAGAAGTCCAGCCATGGTCCAGAGATCAATGCAGATTTGCTGTTTCTTGGAAGTGTGGGTAAGAGTGGGCTGAAGGCAAGGTGTTCTGACTGGGGTCTGACCAACCTCAAAATAACAGCAAGCCAAGGGGTGTGTAGTTGCGCCAAGTCCTGGGATGCCCCCCATGAGACGGCAAAAACAGCAAAGATCCTCGGGTTCCTAGTCCTTTGGCAGGAAGGATGCACATACCTCGTAAGAGCAGCCTAGGAATCTGGGGCAGAGGGATTCAAGGGGGACAGCTTGCACTGACATTTTTGTAGAACCTGAATACCCGCTCCACCGACTATGAACACCCAGCAGACGCTCAGTCTCAGAACCTATACTGTGAGTGACCGTGATTATTCAGTGATCAGGATTTCATACTCTGAATATCTTCAATAATACTTTTCGGCAAAAGTAAGGTAAAACTAAAGAACTGCTTGACTTTATTTTTTAAAATAGTTTTATATCTAACATACTATAGCTTCTTTTTATTTCTTAAAAACATTTTCTTTC